CCTACAAAAATCATATATATATATATATATATATATATATATATATATATATTAGGGTGGTCCTTAAAATGGTCATTTTCGAATTTTCTTGCTCCCAGGGGCTCAAATGGTTCCAAATAGATAAAAAATAATTCTCTGAAAGTTTTAGCTCTTAATATTAACGTTTAGATAGAGCGCAATTCAATCAAAGTTTTGTATGGAAATAGCATTGAAAATTTTTCAAAAGTATTAAAAATGTTTTTTAGATGTAATTTGGCAAACAAATGAATGAATAAAACTCATTTATTTGTCGCTAAGTTATACCTAAAACATTTTTTTTTAATTTTCAAAATTTTTTCCATGCTCTTTCCATACGAGGTTTGATTGAATTGCGCTCTATCTTCACGTTAATATTAAGAGCTAAAACTTTCAGAGAATAGTTTTTTATCAATTTGGAACCATTTGAGCCCCTGGGAGATAGAAAATTCGAATATGACCATTTTAAGGACCACCCTAATATATATATATTGAAATGAAATAGTGGTATTGGTAGTATGGTTCGGGTATGGGTTGGAGGTCCGTTTGTTGAAGATCCACAGTCCGGGATATTGGTTACTGTAGTAGCTTCTTTATGCGATATTGTAATAATGTCCGTCCAACCTTTCCTGATGCCTTGGGTCGAGCAGTAGGAATATTATTTGATCGACTGGTTTGATGCGAGTTCTCTTCAGATTAATGGGTCCTTTCAATAAGGTATTCGCTGGAAGAGACAAACTTCTGGTTCCAATAAAAATCCACTTGTAATATTTTACACTGTATTTATTGCTTTACTTCACAGACATAATCTCCACTTAGATTATTTAAGACTACTCTAGACTAGACATTATGGCTAGACTTTTGCCTAAGCCATCACTGCTAAACTCTTGTCTAAGACATCACTAGCCAGACTTTTGCCTAAGGCATCACTAGTTAATACAAATAATTCTGACTCTATATATTATACATTGTACGTGTCAATTCTAGGAATGGCGTCTTCCGCGTTCATGTAAAGATCTTGTACTTTGATCAACATTGAACAATGAATTCATATTTTTATTAAAAGCACGTATGATTACAGAACAATATATATATATATATATATATATATATATATATATATATATATATATATATCGTCGAGATAAATGAAACAATAGATAATAAAATATTTTGTGTGTTATCATTCAGCATTTTTTTGATGTTTTAACTGTATCTAAAATAATTTTTACAAAATTAAAAAAAAAAATTAAAATATATTATAAATTAAAAGATGTCTCAACGTCGAACAAAAAATTTAAATCATATATGCATATATATATATATATATATATATATTGTCATGAATTCCATTTCATTTGTTACTGCTCTCCTTAATCATACTCTAATTTGTTATTAATTGTTTGTACGTTTGCAGTATTTCTACAACCGTACCGTGACGTCGTGTTCCTGTAAGAGACTGATTACTATTACAAAACTATCAATATATATATATATATATATATATATATATATATATATTGATAGTTTTGTTGACGTTGCTACATATTTGAAATATTTTGCAGCCCAATCGTCAAATGAAAAAAAGGGTAAAACAGAAAAAAAATTCATTCTATTGAACGTTTCGACACTTAATGTGTGGCATCATTCAGTAATCTAAAAAAAACATTACATATATATATATATATATAAGTATATATATATATAAGTATATATATATATATATAAGTATATATATATATATATAAGTATATATATATATATATATATATATATATATATATATATATATATATACAAAAGCATAAAAAGCAAAATTACGATTCATCGTTTGCCAACATTTCTACTGGTAATAACATGCTATCGTATAGCGTTAGCGAATTTTATTTACGTTTGAATGCAATATTACCTTCTATAATCTAGATTAAAATTAGTTCACTGACAGGTTAACATCTAAGAAGTGGATCTTTATGAAGCCAATAAAGCTTGATTGTAGTGTGAATAGAGATTTATTGAAGAAAGACGAGAGCTACTTAATGATCGATCGATGTGTTTATTGAAGAGCAAACTAAACATTTCGTATTAACCCTATGTGTTCAAGGATTCAATTTACTGCCTAATGGCAAACTCAATTTTAGACATCATGCAATAGAATGTATTGTTTAGCTTTAATTAAATAAGTTTATATAAGATGTTTGAATAAAATCAGGTAATATAAAATTATACTTTGGAATTTTCTTTTCGTTTTGAGGGAACCAGTAACATTTAAAATTACGCCTGATTATTTAAAAAAAAAACATGTAATATTTTCTTTCATGGGAAAAATGAGTAATAAAATATAATTTTTTCATTATTTTCATAAGCGCGCACTAACGCTTCTGTTTGTAATATCATTCAACCAGTTTACTGTGTCGCTCATATCGAACAGTGTGTACAGCTTTATGTCATCCGAATCGAGTTCATGACGAGTATCTTCGTCAATCGCAGAGTAATTTGCGATGGTTAGATATCGGAATAAACATATTTATAAAAACTTATTTTACAAAATTGAAAAATTATATTATTACATTTTACTTTGTTAAACATAAGATTATATACGTATTAAGAAGAGAAACTAAGAATGAATTTAATTTGTTAGATAAAAATAAAAAACTAATACTAAAATAAACAGTTCAATATATTATTTAAAAGTATAATATATATATATATATATATATATATATATTATAAAATTTAATGATATATTATAGATAATAATAGAAAATGCATATAAATTGTGAATCCAAACTTCCCATTTCCAAAAATAAATATAAATGACGTGTATATACTTGGCACCGCGATGGTGGAAATTGGCAAAACTGATATGACCTGATTTTTTGACGATTTTTTTGCTGTCGATTGGTGCAAACTAAATTTTTTTTGCTCTTTTCGTTCTCGAGATAAATGGGTGGGGCCAAATTCGGTGCTAACTATATATATAGTCAGCATCGACCCCTTTAAAAATGCAAAAAAATTAAAATTTCTTTTCACCATCGTTATCAGTTATTTTTTTGCTGTCAAATGATGCAATTAATTTTTGGAAAAGTTTTGCCCATCATAGATTTTCACGCATAGGAAAATTTCCAAATTTGCCAATTTAAAAAAATTGACAATTTTGAAAATGCCCAATTTTTTTGCTCGCTTACTTAAATATAAAACAAAAAAAAATTTTTCAAAAAATTTATTTTTTCACCCCTTTTTTAGAGGGGTTGCCAATTTTTTGGGGTGTCCACAGGTCACGTTTTCAAAAATTTAAAAATTGTTTCGGAATCTGTGATTTTTTTGCTCTGCGATACAAAAAAGAAAAATTAAAAAAAAAAGTTTTAATTTTGATTTTTTTCGTAGTATGAAAACGAATTGCAATCCGCTTTAAATGTGCTTATTTTTTTTCCAACAAAATCATCAACACTACCTTTACAAAAATATGTGCTCGACAGGAATTAATAGTTTCATACAATTTTTATATAAATTTGTTAAAACGTAACAGGAATCGCTGTGCATATATATAGCCGTCTCACTCGCTTAATGGCGTATAGCTTTCTCACTCGCTCATCATCGAGAGACCCAGTGCGTAGAGACTCGCTACGCCGTAGAGTCTCTCGGCGGCGGGTTGCCAAAGACGCATTATTTATTTACTGAAATTACTGAAATATTGTTGACTAATTGATTCATTAAGTCTGTTTTGGGGGTAAGTAAATAAATTGAAAAGCATCGTATACTACGTAGTACTTATGGACGCAAACTATTCGTTTTTATGCTACGGAAAAAATCAAAATTAAAATTTATTTTTTTGAATTTTTCTTTTTTGTATCGCAGAGCAAAAAAATCACAGGTTCCGAAACAATTTTTAAAATTTTGAAAAAGTGACCTGTGGACACCCAAAAAAATTGGCAACCTCTCTGAAAAGGGATGAAAAAATGAATTTTTTGAATTTTTTTTGTGTGTTATATATTTAAGTAAGCGAGCAAAAAAATTGGGCATTTTCAAATTTGTCAATTTTTTAAAATTGGCAAAAATGGGAATTTTCCTATACGTGAAAATGTATGATGGGTAAAACTTTTCCAAAAATTAATTGCACCATTCGACAGCAAAAAAATTACTGATAACGATAGTAAAAAGAAATTTTAATTTTTTACCATTTTTAAAGGGGTCGGTGCTGACTATATATATAGTTAGCACCGAATTTGGCCCCACCCATTTATCTCGAGAACGAAAAGAGCAAAAAAAATTTAGTTTGCACCAATCGACAGCAAAAAAATCGTCAAAAAATCAGGTCATATCAGTTTTGCCAATTTCCACCATCGCGGTGCCAAGTATATACACGTATATAAATGTTTTGCCCAAAAATATTAGCCTAATTTTGGAGATCAACAATATGATTTGACTTAATATTGATTTCATTTATTTGCATAATAATTTTCAAAGCTCAATCAATTTTACTCTTCATTCACCGAGCGAATCTAAAATAATATTATTTTGAAATGACTATTATTTTGAATTTTTTTTGTTTACGGTGCAATTGCAGAATGCAAGCAAGCTATGTAAAATTCTCCATTCTGGAAACAATAAAATTATCTGTCATTTAGTTTGTATAATTTTAAATTGTTTTTTTTTCTAATTTTATTTCAATTGTATCTCAACATTTAAACTTGTTTATTATTATTTTATAAAATGAATAATCGGGATATGATGGCAGAGTCTGAGGAACTTGTTCAACATTTCTGTTACTTCTTCTTATTTGGTATACTATCAGTAACGATATTTAGTACCATCTCATATTTTAAGTTAGGATATATCTGGCCTGACGACGATCGTAACGAACAAGTATGTAGCGATTTACTTAAATATATGTATATATATATATATTTTATATATATATATATATATATATATATTTATATAGAAAAATCATTTATTGTGAAGAATACTGATTCAAATTATTTCAGGTAGCCGAAGATTATGACCCAGATATTTATGGAGAATATTATTCATTTGAGGGTAAGTTATTCTTTACAAGCAATCGTTACCATGTGTATGGGGTAAAAAGGACTAGATGATAAATTTTTGAAAATCAGCAATAAACGCATTTCTACAATGATGAATTAGCTGGGAGTTTTACTGAACCTAGTCAGATAGTTGTTTGTTTGATATCTGCTATCTGTTGTGATATAGCTGGTTTTGTTTTCACAAGTCAAAGTGGACCTTTATGCCCCGTTATACTCTACATACATATATAATATATATATATATATATATATATATATATATATATGTATACTATAAAATACTATAATCAATAAACTTATGCTGGGATATGAGCATGATTTATTAGTTAGATAAAAATAAATTTTCAAAATGTAGTTTAGTCTTTCCGAAACTATCTTGTTTAAAACGTTGTAGATACGAATAACAAATAATATACAAATTAATACAGATTGTGGAGCATGTACCAATCTCTGGTTACACTTTAACAAAAAGTGCATGTATTTAATAAAATGCATCGCAATATCATATTCATAATTAGTTGCACTAATATTTGAGTTGCATAATTTAAACTTGCCTTAATAATACGTGCAATAAAAATATATGAAAATATATTGTATCAAAATTTAATTTAACTTTGTGTGTAGGATATTATTATGATGAAATCTCAGAGGAAAACCAAGACGCCTTGCCAGACCAAGATGAACGAAATTATCATGAGAACGAATTTCAATTGGCAGAAAATGTAGAATTCGTCAACTTCTTTATAAGATGTATTTCTTTAATAATTATTTATGGCAAGGTCTTGTTGTAAATATAATTATCCTTTACAACCAATATAAATTTCTGCCAATTAATGATTAATATTTGCGTAATTTATTCAAAAGTTGTTACAATACTATATATGTATATATATACATATATATATATATATATATATATATCATATTACAAACAATATAAATAATTTACCATCCGCCTATTTATCAGATGACTACTTTATTTATTTTATTAAGATACCAATACAAGAACATAATCTCTAATGATTAAAAAACATCATGTTGATATGATGTTGGTGATAAATATTTCGGATAAAAATGTAATTATGCCACTTTTTATTAACTTTCCGTAGGGTTAGTCATAGTAATTGCAAAAAATTGAAAATAATTTTTTTTATATATCTTTACGCTTCAAAGGTTTCCTAACATTTTGGCATACCTTGGAGAAAATGAATGTATATATGCGGATACAAATTATCGTCGACGATAGAGAGAGAACACGAATCAACCAATTTGAATGATTTAAACAAATATTCGACTCCTATTAATAAGGGAACGTGCTGATTAGTTTTTGGCGTTATGCGCTTCGATATTTGACAAAAAAATAATTCTTTTTTAAAAAGAATTAATTTTTGGTACAGGAAGTTCCAGCAATTTTGATTAAGGCGCGATGACCTAATGTTATAAAAAATATCAAATAGATAGATGCAAACTAGTCGCATATCTTTTCTCTCTCGGGTAATTTATTAATTATTAACGAATATCTCTGCCTCGTTTTCATGCATATGCACGTATGTCGCTCTGTGTACTTCGTGACGTCGCCTGGCACATGACAGCAGCTTAGAACTTCTTAAACTTTCTATCATAATCCCCTCATTATGGAATAACAAGCTATGTCAACAGGCTCCTGTCAAGCGAACACTGCTACGAATGTTTTATTACAGAAGATAGAGTTATATGACAAACATCTAGCATCTCACACTGTTTGGACAAACTCTCATTAGTAAGATATTGCTTGAAGTGTACATATTTCAAATTAAAAGCATAAAAAACTTGTATAGGGCATAGCGTGGCTTATAGGTTTGCGGGTGTGAAAGTCCAAAAAATTATCTCAAAATAAGCAGAACAACGTGTTTTTGCACACTTTTTTTTAAAGAAGCACGTTGCCGTCAATCGGCTGAAATCAGTAGATACTCGACCGTATAAATATTTTAACATTCTTAATTTAACTGAATTAAGTGAACAAGAAGAAAAGAAAAGTGTTGACAGCAGTGATTCAGAGGTATATATATATATAATATATATATATATATATATATATATATATATATATATATATATTAGGGCGGGTCGATTTTAAGGTCACTTTAGGTACATACTATTTTCAAATTTTTAGGGATCAAAATAAGATACTTTACTAAAGCCATATTTCTAAAATAAATTCTGATGTCGCGTGCATTCATCCAAAGATAAGAATTAAATTTTTAAAAATCACTTAGGGGGGTCCAAGAGATCCCAACACTGGTACCAAATGTTGTGGATTCGCCGTTGCCAACAATTATGTTGCGTCACGCCAACGATGTCAACATTTATAATTAGGTTCTTCTGCTGCTAACATTTAAGCCTTTATTACTGTGGAAATATTTAATTAAACATTTGAAGACGTTTATTAACTTTATTTACTTCATTATTCGGTTACACTTGATTACAACTTAATACACAATTAATATATTGAAGTGAAGACTGATGTGAAGTGATTGAAAACTAGATTAGGAATGAACGCTGGTTTCGTCATCCTCAGGCTTTTATAATCTCTGATGATGACGTAACCATCCTTCTAGAAATATTCGTTAGGAATGATTCATTCTTATTTATTTGAGACACAGTTTGTGGTTTTGTCGTCGAAGAAACGGTTAACAGGCTTGCACGTGCACTTTATCTTTGCATACTTTGTTGCAAGTCTATGAGTCATGCTAACTGCGTTGTTCATATTGACTGTTATATAGAATTTATATTATTTATAATTATTACAAAGGGGTGGATAGCACTACATTACATACGTCATTACAGAAGAATTATATATATATATATATATATATATATATATATATATATATATATATATATATACATATACATATACAAGAGTAATAATTGTAATACTTAATGTTATTATAATGTAAAAAAAATTATTACATCTGATTGTTTTACAACTTCCTGAAACAAGGGAATGATCATACACATCGGAATGTTGAGATTTTGTATGTTCCGTCGAAATAACATTATATTATTAGGCTTAATGTAAACAGCAAAGCTTATTCGCTTCTGTTTCTTCGCATTAATTCAGAATGCGACGCGGAGGGGACTTATGTAAAGTTGATGGTGATCTAAAATATTGATGTGATCGAAAAGAGCAAGCGTATCGCACAAGACTGCTTAAATCATTACAAAGCACAGAGACAATAATATATATAAAAACACACTGCACACGCATATGAGTATCTTTATAAACAATTTTTTTTATAAATTGGTGAGTTCCGTTAAACCCCTCTGGTCACAGAAGGTGTTATAGGGGTTCAGTTGGAAGTGTGTTTTTGATTTACCTACCATTCTGATTCAACCCGATAGAAGTTAATGACAGAATATTCTATTTTCTATTACACCGGTGTTCAATAACCCGTTTCTAAAACATTTTTATATCAGTAATTCATTCGCAGTAGGGAGGACTGGGAACGGTTACGCCAGGGTACTATACTGATTTTGAGATAAGGTCCAAAGGGAGAAAGATGAAGTATGTTTGTTTGAACAAGTTTCCAGTCAGTTTGAACTGTTTTCAGTCAATGCCTCACATTAACATAATCATTGACCGCATGCTTTTAAAAAGTCGAAAGTAAGTTTTCATGTTTGAATATTCTTTTAATAATAATATAACTTTTAATAATAATATTTTAATAGTAATATAACTTTTAAAAATGAATATAACTGTTAATTGTGTACAGATAGATCACTTTATTTTGCTGTGAGTTGAACACTAATAAATATTTATCATCAAATAGTTTTTGCTTACAATTGGATAGTTTAGCTCAGCCATAATGATCATTTTTTTCAAATGTGTGCGTTGGATACGGCAGTGACAAATTTTTTTGGTTATTTCTTTATAGTCAGAAAACTTTTAGTGCTCATGCGTACTAAAAGTTAATGCGTCCTGGGTGCCAACATATTCACAACTGTTTCGTCATCTAGCCTTCGAAAAACTTCTGTTTGCGAAATAAGTCTTTTGTCTCAAACATTGAGTTAAAGTGCTAGCTTGACTTCACACGACTGTAGATAAACAGAGGGTATAAAGAATCACTTTTCGATTGTTCTAGTCGATCGATTTAATAAATACTAATGGTTTCCGACGGAAGCGAATCGTGCGAGGGATTTGCGTTTCAGTTCTCGAAGGCATTCGGAATCAGAAAAAGCAACCGCCGACCGAACATGTTCCAGGAAATGGAGCTACTATCGTCAGAATTGGCCGCTTTTGTGACTTTGCGCTCAGAGACGCTATTGCGATAGTTGAATATGTGCCGTTTACTTCTTCATTTCTATTCTGATATATAATATTATATAAACTCATGTACTACATTTTGTCACTGCTATTTTTTGTACTTTTGCTCCGAATCTTTGAAACGGTTGGGCTTGCTATTGCTAAAAACTAATGTTTTCTGAATTATTCTAATAGGATGCTTCCTTCTATCAAAAACTACTATTTTTTGCATTTTTTGCATTTTTTGCCACATTTCTCCGAAACAGCTGAACCAAAATCTAATCAGCACCCCGTCAATACGAATCTAATATTTTTTGAATCATCAAAAATCTAATCAATCGATCATTCAAATTCTAAATTATAATAAAATTGTATCCAAACATACACATACAGATATAGTACCATTTTTTATGATGTCAGAAGCCAAAATGTTCACAAGCCTTTGGAATATAAAAATATGCAAAAAAATCATTTTCGATTTTTTTGCGATTACTCTACCTTACTCTATGGAAAATTAAAAACGGTTTTGAAACATATGAACTTAAAAATGGTTATTTTGATAAAAAATAAGATTTTTTTTAAAGTTTGAATTTGTTGTTTATTTTTTACTAGATTTATAATAATATCACAGAAATCATAGGAATAATTTTCAAAGCTTTATTTTTGTCGAAAATTTAGACCTGTTTTTCAAATCATTTTCAACTCTT